GAACTTGAGCACACGCATGAAATGCGCCAAATAAGAAATCCGGGCGATGCTCGAGGACACAAATGCTTAGAAAGCACCACAGTAGTCGAAGTAAACAAACACGACGGCACGGGCGTTTCTGCTATCTTGAGAGTGCCGCCACGACATCGCCGCACGAGTAGGTGGATGTTCCCTTCTAGTACGTGCTCGGTTGTCATAGCGACACACGACGAAAATTCACAGTCAAGAATAGCGCTTTTACGCGGAACGATGAGCTTTCACCAGGCCGTCCATTCCGACGATCACCACCGACGCCACGTTTGTGGATAGAAGGAGCCGGCCGGCCCACGACCGGCACGACCGGCCTGCAACGCGCGGAGATACGTGCGCTTCCTCCGCGCATCCCTGGGGAACGGGAAATTCACCCCCCGCGTAGGAAGGCAAGGAGAAAACGTAGTCCCTTGTTTGTGAAACGATAATTGCGCTATCGCGTATTCTAAACTAGAAATATTTTACGTCTTGTGAAATTATCATGCACAACATATTTATATGAACTGAAAATTGTTTTTTTAGCGAAACTTTAAAAAGACCGCCAAAATTTTCAAACATACGATAATTTCATTGGTCCTCCCAAGTACAGAAAAGAGTCCGCACGTATTTTATTCCTGCGTGATTAATAGGCGTTTCTGCCTTCTAAAACTGAAGATATTCATTCACTGACACTTCCTTAACACCATCGCACCAAAAAGTAGCTTCTCCGAGAACCGCTTGAGTGTCCCTTTAACGTTCGAAACGTAAATTATAAAGTGCGTGGGCTACGAAATGTGTATTTTCTTATTATTTCCTATTTTGGGCAGTTTTTATCGCGCACCTGTTCTCTGGCTTCCCCCTATTTGCAAAAATTTGGAGCGTGCGGGTGATGATTTGAACACAGAACAAGCATCTTCGCATGTGTTCATGAGCAGAAAGAATAAAGCAGTACTTATTTATTGCAAATCAAACTATATTACGTAACTTTCAATTTATTTTGATCGTCTGCAAGCACAAGGAGTTACTTATCCAGTGTTACTGCGTAGTTCTTGCCGTCTCTCATGGTTTTCCACATGTCCTTCGTTCGTTTGCGACTTTCGGAAGTGCAGGTCTTTACGAGCGAGCTCGACTTCGCCTTTCAAAGAGGGTAGACGAAATAACTCGAGCGGTACGTTGTTTTTGTCTAACAACTAGCAGGCGCGCATCAAGGAGGGAAGTCAAAGGACTCAGTGGCGAGGTGTCCCGAGGCGCCGAGGTTTGTTTGCTAAGAACCGGGAGTGAGCGTGTTAGTGTCCCTCAATTTCCCTCCCAAATACTTTTTCCCTCCTTTCGTGTGCGGTCTGCTTTACGTCTGATAGTCAAAGCGTCGTCTGCTTTACGTCTGATAGTCAAAGCGATGGCTGCTTTACCTTTCCTGCGTCTGTCGGAGATTCACCGCTTTTTCACCGGCGAGAGTCACCGTTGCCTCGGGAAACAAGGAGATAACAAGAGGAAGAAATTGACATCTTAATCTAAAACTGAGGTTAGCAATCAAAGTATGATACGGGAAGGGTTCACAAGGGTCGCGCGGGCATATTCCATTCAGCACGCCAGCCGGTCGTGGGCAGACGGTCGCCGATTCGCGGAGTGCCTGCTAGGCCTAACTGCCGTGCTCGCTTGGTCGCGTTCGGTGGAATCGTGGCCGCTGGAGCTTTTCCCGGGTGTTTGTGGATCCAGCGTTCTTGTTCGTCGTGGTCTGTTTCAAGTACTTTTTACTTTTTGTTGCTGCTTGAAGTCGGGACGCGTGAGAAGCGCACTTAGAAAAAAGTGAAAGCCGTTTACAACTCCCTGTAACACCGAATTAGAGCGCAGTTCTTGAGGAGGAGGAGGGAAGGGTACTGGGGGGGTGAAGTTACCTGGGGGGGTCACGTGACCTTGAGGGGTCACGTGACGATGCCGATGATGTCATCAGTGACGATGACGATGCGGACTCCGATGACGTCATCAGCGATGATGACGATGACGATGCGGATGTCGGTGACGTCATCAGTGACGTCACTGATGACGTCATCTGTGATGATGACGATGACGATGCGGATGCCCCCCGAAGTCACGTGACACCCCCAGGTCACGTGACCGGGGGGGTCACGTGACCTCGGGGGGTCCCGTGACTTCAGGGGGGTTACGTGACTTTGGGTGTCATGTGACCTTGGGGGTCACGTGACCCTGGGGAAGGGGTCACGTGACCTCTGGGGGTCACGTGACCTTGGGACGAGCTTGAGGGTCACGTGACCTTGGGATGCCCTTGGGGGGCCACGTGACCTTGGGATGACCTTGGTTACGCCGACGGCGACGCCGACGCCGCTCAAGCCGGGAACGGGCCCCTAAGAGCTGCGCTCTAAAATAAACGACCGTGGGTCGTCGCGACCGCGACGCTGTCAGGCGTGCTGATTTGATCGTAAGAAGTGCGTAAGACAGCTACGGAGCTGTCGTAGGATTTCGTCGTAACTTGCGCTAAACTTACGAAAAGTTCGTTTCGTGAATACGATTTTGTTCTTAAAGGGACACTGACAGGGTATTTATGCTCGCTGAGGTTTTTAGTTGTACGTGACATATGAGAGCTCAACTACCCAGAACAGAATTTGCGGCTCGAAATTCGGTTTCTTTCCGCCCGAAAACCGCCGATCAAGAACTGGCCTGTTCGAGTCTCGCTCACTCTCTTTTTCGCGGTCACGGGCCGTTTTCTAAGGTATCGATGCGACCACCAAATTTAATCAAAGTCGTGGGTCACTGAAGGCACACACTCATTATTAAAAATAGAAAAAAATATGAAACCCATTTTTTGTGGCTTCTAAAAAGCTGTAAATACGTTGATTGAAAAAAAAAAAGTTCCACAGACAACCGGAAGCATTCTGTGCGTTCGTCGTTTCGCGTATCGTGGGACTCGCGGGGACGGCGATGGCAGCGGACGACGGGCGTGGGACCTCTATTTCAGAACTGTCGTTCGCGGTACCGGCGAATTCCGTCTACCGTTAAAAGAGAAATTTGGGACTGATCAAAAGAATTGGTATTCATCCCGTACGACACGCCCGGCCACCAAGCCGATTTGCACGAAGACGTTGCCGAGCCGTCGCTCCCTTCTCGTGGCTGAAGACATCGCTCGCGCAAACGTCAAGCACGACGTGTCTACTTCGAGTTCAATATGCACGCGTACGATTTCTTTACTAGGTGCGAATGTCCCCAAAGCGTGGTGCTTCTCGACTTCGACCCAGGAGTGCTTTTGCTGGAGCAAAATCGACAGCAAACTTTCCAACTTACAGTTTACCGGCTGAATTGTTACTAAGGAAAGAGATCCAACAGAAAAGCGATGTCCCAGTAGCTTAGTGGGGAAGACGTCCGGTTCACACGCGGTAGGACCGGGTTCGATCCCCCGTGAACCTTTATTTTTTTTTCTTCGAACATTTTCCGATGTTTACATATAATTTTTTTTTACAATCATCACTGAAGAAACAAACAAAAAATAACAAACTAATGTTGTGGACGATACTTCGCTGATTTAAATGGTGTGGGATTTCCGTTTTGACACCTGCGAGCTCAATGTAATCACTTTCCACAAAATGCAAGGAGCATATAAATCAGGTAACGTCCGCTTTCCGAGGTGCCCGTATATGTTCTACAGGAATTGCAGCCAGCCGTTGGTCCCGATCCCGTTGATCTTTCGGAAACTCTGTCGCACAATGCCACTTTTTTTCGGATTCAGGAAATGTGAGCCAGCTCTTCACGCAACATCTTGGGTGTATTCTTTTCGGAGCCGATCATGGAAATTCACCACGGGCACTCACTACTCATCTCCAACTCCTCAATGTACAAAACAACTCATCTTGGGGTACAGAACAACGAGCGGAACAAACATAACAGCAAAAAAATCGCACGGCGAGCAGTTCCCGCACGCCCCATCGCACGCCGCATGTCCTGTCGTCTGCTACCAAAAAAGAGAAAAAAAAAAAAAAAAAAAAAAAAACGCACGGTAGGGTGTAGCCACGTGACTTCCGCCACTCACACTCTTCTCTCCACTTCTCCGACCTCCGCCGGGTTTCGGTTTCGGTTTCGAGGAGTTGCGTCTTTTGGCTTTATTAAAAAAATACGCTACTCTGTTGCAAAATATTTATTGGGTAGTACTCCGACACCGTAATGAAGCGCCTGGCAAAAAATAAAAAAAATTTTTTGGGGGGTGTCAGTGTTACGCACCTTTTTGGCTTACGATCGTTTCGTGAATCTGGCCTCTTCACTTCCGAAAGTTGCGAGCAGACGACGTTGCAAAGGAGCAAACGACGCTCAGATAGGGGTCGCGATCAGCCAATTAGGGTTCGGCGTTCTGACGTCACCGCTACCCCCCTGCGCAAGAAGCAGACGAACTTGTTCTCCGCATACCCCCATGCTGGAAAGCGCCGGCGCCGTGTTCGCGCTAACAGTGTCCGACAGTGCACATAAATACATGTACGAAGGGGTTTTAGCACCGTTTTTCCATGCCACGATTTTAAAATAAAAACGCCGTAACTGACCAATTATTTCATCTGCGTGTCTGGGAAATGTTCCAATGTGGCTAGTAGGTACGAATTATTCGTGATATTTGCTCCTATAATCGGGTGCAGGGAGGAAATGCACTCGCTTTTTTCCGTAGAAATGCATTACCGGAAGTCAATTTCGGACTGCTTGCTGTCTGCTTCAATTTGCAACAGCACACTAGCGCCAGTTGAACCTTTAGGGTACATTGTAATAACTCTATGCATACAGTGAGCGCATCACCTCGTTGGAGCGCATACAGTTCACGTTTCCGAACGACCGTTTCTCAAATATTTAATACTCTTGAGTTACAAGGTTGGTTACAAGCGTTATTTTTTTTTTGCGTTTTTTAAGCATTTTTTTTAAGAATCTGATTGAATAGATAGATACAAACTAGGCTCTCCAATACACACAGACTGTGGCTTGCGCCACCTAGCAAGTTTACTTATTAAATGTATGTGACGATGTGACAGATCGCCCGGTGTTCGGGAAAGTAGATCCAAAACATGCGAGGTCTTGCTTGAAACACCTCTGGCATGCCCTGCCTTTTACAGTGCCGACAAAGCCACAGGCGCGTGAGCCTAGCGCAGGCTAATGCTTTTGTTTGTACGAGAATAGGCCGATTTCACCAACGAGTGCACGAGATGGTGACGTCTCCGGCAGCGGCGGCGAAACGCAAATAACTGGTGTGATCTAGGGCCTCTCTCTGGCGCCACTAAATAATCTCTATATATACCTCGTTTCAGCTGAACACCAGAAGCAGCCGATGCTACAAACGCGAGCTCCGGGCTTTCAGCGTTCCCTGCCGAGCACGCGCGCTGGTGCAGTGCCAGCATTGTTCAGAGCGGTTCAGGGCCTCGTGCTCGTAGCGTCGGCTGAAATGAAGCATACTAAAATCGATAGGAGGTACTTTGCAATTTTACAAAGCCATGTTAGCCACGCGCTGGCGCCCGAGCCTGTCGCGTGTCCACATGCTGTGCCACAACATCGTCAACGGAATATCGAACCCTACGAAGTACAAGGGCAAGAAGAAACAAAACAATGCGTTCATTTCGAGTGCCGGGTTGGAGCTTTGACAAATCCTTCAGACAACGCTTGGTCGCGACAGCGCGTCCACTCCACGAATCGCATCTGGTTGTTGTGTTTATCACACTCCTCGTCGTTTGTTACCTACTTTTCTCGGCGGGGAAATCAACGCGGCCGACTGACGGCTTCCTTCAGATGTCCGAGTGGGATATAGACGCAAACGCCAGCGAGTGTCCGTGGACGCCTCGCACGGAACGCCAGGACTTTTGGATTCCCGCCGACAGGCTCATGTGTCCGTCCCTGTCGGCGTCCATGCCACAAAGTTTTCCCATCAACGCGGAAGTCAACAAAACTCTACTGGGCGAACTGTCCACAAGGTTACAGCCGGGGGGTCGGTGGGCGCCATCTTGGTGCAAGTCGGCCCACTTCGTCGCCATCTTGGTCCCTTACCGCGACCGCCAGAAACACCTCTCCCTGTTCCTCCAACACATGCACCCGTTCCTGCAGAGGCAAAGCGTGCAGTACACCATCTTTGTCGTCGAGCAGACCGCCGAAGGCGCCTTCAACCGGGCCAAGCTGTTAAACATCGGGTTTGTGGAGGCCACGAAGCGGGACAGCTACTGCTGCATCTTCTTCCACGACGTGGACTACCTTCCGGAAGACCTGCGTAACCTGTACCGGTGCGAGCAGCATCCCAGGCACGTGGGCTCGGCGGTCAGCGCGTTCCGCTACGTTCTGCCCTACCCCGAATTCTTTGGTGGGGTCGTTTCGATGAGGGCCGAGCACTTCGTCCGGATCCGGGGCTTCTCGAACCACTTCTTCGGTTGGGGCGGAGAAGACGACGACTTGTTCCGACGGGTGAAGCACGCCGGACTCTTGGTGGTGCGCTGGCCATCGTCGATATCGCGCTACACGATGCTGGAACACAAGAAAGAGGTGCCTAACCCTCACCGCGATGCGCTGCTGTTCAGCGGGGACGAGAGGTTTCAGTCGGATGGTCTGAGCAGCCTGGAATACAAGCTGATCCAGCTGGAAGAGAAACCGCTGTACACGCACATCCTGGTCGACGTTTATGCGCCGACTTGATCTAGAGTAGAGGGAAGCACCCTCACTCGACGGATCGGTTCAGCCCCACGAAAGCGCTGCCGCTGAAGTCGTTTTCTACGTTAATAATTCTAGTGTGTTCCTTTCGGGCTGTGTTTGATTGCTGGTAAGGTAGGAAATGCAACGACAATTCGACCCGCATATTGCATATAGTTCTTGAGAACAGCATGCGTATGCAACTGTCATGATTCCTATTTGTGTTTATTGGGTTTGTGTGAAACATCAGGTGTGTGTTTGATACACTGAATAAGTAATATTGCTCCAATTATCTGGTAACGAGTAAAGCATAAGTTCTTAACATCACGCTTGTATCCAAATGTACCGACATGCAAATAAAATTCAATACCTTGATCGTCTAAACGGCATTCCAGTGCACCCTTTAATATGTTCTTTTATTTGTCAAGCATTTTATGTACTGGATTTTTGCAACCGTATTACACCATATAAAAATGTTGTTATGCAATACATATTATTCCAGTCCCATTTATGATTCAATTTGATGGTATGTATAATTATTAGATCATTAATCACATCATGCCACAATATTGCGAAAGCGCTATCGCAAAGCACGTTTTACAAGATTCAAGCTTTAATTGCAAACACACAATATACTACACTTTTTAGTTAAATTTTATAATAAACCGCTATCATACGTTGTTACTACTGCTAAAAAGCGAAGGAAATTAAAAGTTGTTTTTTTTTTTTTTTGAGAAAATCGATCCTAAATTAGCAAGGTTTTTGAAACATTAGTTAATTCAAAGGTATGTAGCAAATGTTTTCTTTTAGATACAATATTCAATTTTTAATGAACAGAAAGAACTAGGTTTAGGATTTCTTCTACAACGAAATTTCGGCTCTTGGTGTATTCTGGGGCAGCGTAAAGGCATCGGAACAGGTGGGCTCATTTCAATACGTTAGTCGTCGTAACTGCAACCGTGGCAGGTTTCGACGGGGCAGCCGTTGGCTCGTTGCTCGCTCGACTCGGCGACTCGGTGCTCAAAAGTCGTTGCCGTGGTAACCTGCGCCTGCTCGCGTATGCCACGTGGTCACGGGAGGAGGGGCGTACCAAGGGTTCCCATTATTCGTCGCGCGGCGCGCGTGGGCTTTTGGGACTTTTGCAAAGCGTCTATTGAGCGTCGTTTGGATTAAAATGAGCGGGAAAACCCGCAGCAAGTAACGTTGACCCGCAGACTGTGTCCACTCGGCGCGGCCATCTTCAAAATCTTCAAAATGCAGTGCTACGGCCAGGAGGGTAAAGGTGAGTGAGGAGGGGTGGCAAATCCCGCGCGCCGACATCCTGGGTCCCGAGTGAAAGATCGCGAAAGAGAGCGACAGAACACGAGAGAAAGAAACCAACGTTGCCAGTTGAAGGAGGGCAGTCGCAATGGTAATCGCGAAGACTGAAAACTCTCATCAATATAGACAGTGATAATTTTACATTGTAAACTAAATTCTGAGCTATTCTAACGCGTATAAAAAGCAGTTACGCTGCATTAACATTAGTTCTGATGAAATTTCAGAAATCTGGTGGTTGCTTGGTTTCGTATTCTTGGGATTACAGTGACCAAGAGACGACTAGAAGATTGGTGGAAATTATCTACCGAAAATTAAATGATGGACAACTAACTAGCACAGCTGGGAACAGGCGGGACCACTGATCTCAATGACAATTGCTGGATCGCGCTTGCCGCTCCCGCAAGTGAAGCCACCGGACTTCACTCGCTTGGGATACGATTTGCCGTTTTTGCTAGCCTTTGCTGCGGTTTTCCAGCGTGCTGTGGACACGTTTTCTACTCGTTCGTCGTCATTCGCCGAAGAAGTTTTTTGAAGACTCTGTGTATTGTTGAGACTTGCCGTCGTGAACACGTGGAAAATTTTACGAAAGTGCAGTGTCGCAGGAAAAAGGCACAACGCGTCGAAAGGAATGGGCTGGCGGCGTGTTCAAAGCTTCCCTGGCACGCCGAAGTGCCGTGTCTCTGTGCCTTCGCACGCTTGGATACCGACCAAGAATCGACGCCGTGTGGATGTGTTTTGCGAGTGCAATGTGCGTGAAGCCGTATCAAAAGGTACAACTCGTCGAAAACAAGTGTCGCCGGTGTCGCGGCGTGATCAAAGCTTCCTTGGCACGCCGAGTGATGCATCTTTGTGCCTTCGCACGCTTGGATACCGGTCTAGAATTGACGCCGCGCCAAAGTTCTGAACGTGTGTCGCGCGTAGAAGCCTTTAGAGTTCTGGATCGTCCAGCTGTTCCGGTGAGTTGCTATCAATAAAAGGGAGAGATCTGTACGTGTTCTTATGTACTATATTAACCATGGCTATGTCCCAAATCTACTCTAATAGATTCCGTGGGAGCACGAATAGGGCAACGTTGTGGAGCCAGGGGGGTTTTCGAAAGCAAAAGTACAATACGGCGAGAATGAAAATCTTTGAAGCGCGGCCGATATAGTCGTGTGCAATCTGCTGACCAATTACAATTAGGCGAGCCGCGCTCAAACGTCAAGTGCAATTAAGTAGGTTGATAATAAGCCAGCACTGATCAGTGATGAGGAGCTGTTGTGGGCGGTATTGTGTAAATCGTCTAAGGACGATTTACACAATACCGCGCACTTTCCCCCCACCTTCCGTCGCCAGTGGACCTAAACCGCGAGGGCAAAAGACGCTGATCCAGAGGCACGAACAGCTTCACGCACATTGCACTCGCTAAACACATACACACGACGTCGGTTCTTGATCGGTATCCAAGCGTGTGAAGGCACAGAGACACGGCACTTCGGCGTGCCAAGGAAGCTTTGAACATGCCGCCAGCCCTTCCTTTCGACGCGTTGTGCCTTTTTCTGCGACACTACACTTTCGTAAAATTTTCCACGTGTTCACAACGGCAAGTCTCAACAATATACAGAGTCTTCAAAAAACTTTTTCGGCGAATGACGACGAACGAGTAGAAAACGTGTCCACAGCACGCTGGAAAACCGCAGCAAAGGCTAGCAAAAACGGCAAATCGTATCCCAAGCGAGTGAAGTCCGGTGGCTTCACTTGCGCTGCAGCGAACAAGCGGGGAAGCGCGATCCAGCAATTGTCATTGAGATCAGTGGGCGGGACAGAGGAAAATTGGGACTCCCTTCCGCGTGGCTCCGGCCCAAAGTCTCAAACCTGTCTCCCAGTGGGTCCGGTGCTGTGGTAACGCCGAAAAGGTTTGACCAGAGGAAAATTGGCGACTCCCTCGCCGGGGGGGAAGAGGCAGGGGGGTGATGTTTTTTAGTTTTTTTGCCCGATCCCCCGAAGGTCATCCTGGTGATATCCCACACTGCCTGGTGATAGTTAGGGCCCGTTCACACTTACGACTTCGGACAGTCGCTGGAGCGACAAGCGACTGGTGACCACCAGTGTTCACACCTGATCGGACAATAATCAACACCTTCCCGAGCCGGCCGAACGGTTTTTCTGATCAAAGGCGCCGGCAGAAGAAAAAAAAAAAAAAAAAAAAAAAAAAAAACTTAATGGTGCTTTGGAACGTAAAACAACTATATGTGCGCTCCCTCAACAATGATATTGTTCGTACCTGCAATGCCGAAAATGCCGCCAATCTCGTTCCAGGCCTGCAGCTTTTTGTCCCGATCTTTCTGGTCAGGGTGCCGCTGATTCTAAAGAAACGGATAGTCTTTGACAGCCTTAATAGGAGCTTCCGCGGAGAACTCCATGCCAGTTACCGCCGCCGTGCGTGCGTCGCTGTTTCCCGCGGGAAACAGTTCCGGACAAACGCACACTGTGATTGGCTCCGCCGTCCTGCAACGACTCGGTTTTGCGACTTGAGAAATCGGTCAGGGAGCGACTGCCCAAAACCGGTCGCTAGCGACCTGTTTTGGTCGCTCCGCGACTAAAAATCAGTCGCTAGTCGCTCCAGCGACTGTCGCAAGTGTGAACGGGCCTTTAGGGGCGGGAGGAATCACGTTTTTGTCTTTTTAGACTTAGGCTAGGTGGCGCAAGCTACCGCCCGTCACAAAGGGAATAGCCATTAACATCCATCCATCCGGTCTGCCTGCGAGGTTGCTGGAAGGCCTGCAAGCTCCGCCGCTTGCGGCAGCCAGAACCTTTTCCTCTAGAATCCCCAGTTACAAGCATATATCTTCTCATTCGTTTCTGAAACTGCTAATATTTTGCAACTGCACGCTTGAGACGCGTAGAAAGAACAACGTTTGCTTCCCGATCGATGCGAGAAAAGCCAATATGAGTCAACTGGAGTCCAAGCCGATCCAAAAGAAAAAGTTAGCCGCCACACCACTGCAGCCACTGTCCTTGCTGTGGTGCGAAGTTCCGCCAACATGCTGCGGACGTCCTGGACTTATTGCACCTTACCAGTGACCTCAATGGCCCGGTCACTGGTGAGTTCACCGCTTCTAAATGTGCTCCAGGTAAGCTAGTGCTGATTTGCCTCGCTAAACGTGGTCGTAGTTTGGTAAGCTACCAGCGCGCGACTACGGAAAGTGCGCACTATGGACTCGGTTCCCCTTGGGTTTCCTCAAACAAAAGAAAAGAAAATATTAATATAAGCTTCACAGGCAGTAGAGTTAGCGCTGCAAAATTCTCTACTCAACAATAGACCTCGCGTGCGAAAAAAACAAAAAATTGCTTTCTGGAGGGGCACGCTTGTGCACGTGCGCGTAGGGAGCCTACATACTCGCCGACTCCGTCAAGTATGTAGGCTCCCTACGTGCGCGACGAAAACGGCAAAAGGAGCGCGGCCGGAGGCTCAGCATTTGAAAGAGACGCCCTTCCGGTCTCATCCTGTCGGTGTCAGCTGACCCGACCGCAAAGACGGCAGGACGGTGACACTAACGTTTCGCACTATGCGCTGATATGGGCATGTAGTACAGTCCTAATCACACTTGTCTATAGGCAGTCGGCAATGGCCAGGCGGCGCCACGATAGTACTGCATTCAGCGCCTCAAGCGGAGGCGTCTCTGTTAATGGGGCGGCCAGTTCGCCCGTCGGGCCGTTGCGAGCGGCGGCGACCCCAATTTCAGCAGTCCCCGTGTGCACCTGCGTGCCATGTCCCTGGTTCTTCTATGTGGTTTTTTAAGACCATCGGGAGCCTTGATAGGTCCAAGTGTTGAGAAAATATTCTAGAGTCGTCATTTGGACACCAGTTTGAGTTGTTTTCACTACTTGTGGCCGCCCGATCGGTCTGTGCTTCGCTCGTCTCCCATGAACTGACACAACACATCGAGAAGGCAGCGAATGGGTTTATTGTACATCCCGGTTGCCCGGCTTGGAGAGCCGGCAGTTTGGACCCGCCGACCCTAGTAGTAGCCTGTCGTTCAGAGCTCACAGTCGGAACCCGTGTCCAGGCGTGCGGATCGCCCTTCCCACGCCAGTGCTGCGTAGGCTAGCTGTTCCAGTCTATCACAGCCAGACTCTCGCTGCGGAACCACTCCGGGATCGTCATGGAGGCCAGTATGGTCAGGGTTCGCCGCTTCCGCCGGTCCTGATCCGAACTTTGCTGGTGGAATGCTCCTGGGAATCGCCATGGGCCACACCAGCCAGAACGGCTCTATCGTTCCTGCCCGGCCCCAGCCTCGGGCAGCACGCTCTTCCTCTTTCCTCGCTCGGCCGTCCTCTCCTCCCGACGCCCACACACACTAGAATAAAATTTGGGTAATTAGAACCAAACTCTGCGTGCTACAGAACCGTACGCACATTGCAAAGCCTGGTGTAAAATGGCGCCAGGCAACAAAGTGTACGTGTAAGAAGGATATTTACGCTTCGCACGAGATTTTTCTAGAGAAAAACTTTAGCATTCTGCTTTCTGCACCCCGTCACTTTTGTTACCAGACTCAGCATTAAATTTCGTTGCTGAAACAAACAAAACTTTGTACTGCGAAAATCCACTTTTTGAAAACTCGCAGGTTTAGAAGGTTTTGGTTGCAACCACGCGTGCCGAATGGCATTAGGAGTGCCGGAACGGGCCAACGGGCCTTTCGCTTGAAGACCTGATCGCCCGATTCTCGACATCACAACGAAGCAACAATCGGCCCGATTGTTCCTATTGTATTTCCCTAATGTGGCTGTCCTAGCGACTCGTAATACAACTTGTATAAATATGTTATTTTGCCGAGTAGTCTGCAAAACGAGTTCGTCCGACCACTTTCCAAGCCTACACGTATATTTTCGTTCACTTCCCCCCCGACAGTTTCTGTAAAATTCACTTACTTGTTGCGTCGCACTGCAGTAATCCACTTCTGTCGCCATGTCGCTTCCCAAGATCTCGAAGGGAAGCTGGGGAAGCGGTGAAGTTCGACGCTTGAGTCACCTTTGCAACTGTGGCCATATTTCATACAGCAGTAGCAACGTTTATTTTTTGGAGGAACTCTAGGGGTGAGCGAGATGTTGCAGGAACCCGGTGAGGTTATAGAGACGTGAAGTTAAGACTCACTTTTACAAAAAAAACTGTTCCAAAAAGCTCACGCCGATCCGAAATGCAACATTCACACGTGGAGAACATAATAGCGCTTCACGACAGGGACGAAGAGTAGGAACGAGACAACACAATGCGCATTGTGTTGTCTCGTTCCTACTCTTCGTCCCTGTCGTGAAGCGCTATTATGTTCTCCAAGTTTCAGTACCAACTCTCCCAAGAATCCGCATTACTCAACTTCACACATGGTTTCTGGATGCGCCCGCCCGCAGCCCCTCGACCCGCGTAGTCCTGGCCTACCCAGTTTCATTATTTTGCAGCCGCTAGATGGCGCAACGTGTAGCGCCAAACTGCATTGCAGGTTGCCTATAACGCACAAGCGAGCGGCTTTCTCCGGGGAGCGCTGGACTGGTGGCATTCGTGGAAACTAAGCTAGTCACGTGGCGCAACATAGAATGGCCCGCTCGAGGGGTGTCTTGCCCACTCTATCAGCTTGATAAGCGATAAAAAGAAAGTGATTTATAATATATTTTTGTTTTTTGATAACGACATCGTTGATACGCCTTCATGCTTTACTTTGTTTATTGTTCGAGCAATGATGTTTGTAAAAAGCGTGCGAGCAGCCTTCCGCATTCGCCGCTAGCTGATAGAGTGGGGTGGCTATGTTGCACGTTTTGGACTCCCAGGAGACTAGGGAGAAGGAAGTGACGTCAACGACACAGGAAATGCAGATTGGATGTTGACAGAAGAAAACAAGATCAATATCCAATCTGCATTTGCTGCGTTGTTGACATCACTTCCTTCTCCCTAGTCTCCTGGGAGTCCAAAACGTGCAACATAGCCTCCCTGGACGACACCCCTCGAGCGGACCGTTCCATGTTGCGCCACGTGACTCGCTTAGTTACCGCGAATGGCACCAGTCTAGCACTCCCCCAGAAAGCTGCACGCTCGCGCGTTATAGACAAGTGTGATTAGCACTATACTATCGTGGACACTATTAGCTATGATTAGGGTGTGCATTTTCCGGTTTTAACCGAAAAACACCGATAAACATCCGTCGGTGACGAAAATATAAAATCGGTTAAAACCGAAAAACACCGGTGGTTGGATATTTTCGCCCTGGTTAAAACCGAAAAACATCGGTCGTTGCTAGTTTCCGACCTAGCGAAACCCTTTCCCCGTAGAGGTTCGTCAAACCTGTTATCTCGTGGATCCTGCATTCTTCCAGTGTTTATACATGGCTTTCAGGTGGCACCAGTCCGCCCTCCTTTCTGGGGGTCAAAAGCGTCTGGTGAACGCAGTGGAAGCTAAGCTCTCATACGCCTTTCCCCTATTGTGTCTCCCATGTCCCTTTTTTGTGGGAAAATTAACACAGTGGAGGGTAGGCTCTCACGTGCCTTTTCCGCATTGTGTCTGGCCAAATGATGTCGGTGCAAGCCATGTATTCAGAGGTTGCTGTGGTTCCTGGAAGACATTGCCGACTTCCGTGTCGTACAGGAGCGTGCGTTTTCATAATTGCGGCTTGCGAACCGCAAGGAACGTGCTTTGTGTGTAGATGCAAGCATGAAAGTATGCTTGCATCTACTATAATAACCAAGTGTGAGAAATAGTTGCTTCCTAGAGAAGAAGTGTATGAACTATGTGAATAAAATTGGAACTCTCTGTCTGTGATCAATCGCTTTTTTTTCACCGATAATCACCGTTTTTAGCCTCATCGTGAGATGTTCCACCGAAATACGTCGGTGTTTTGAAAATAAATAAACACCGAAAAACATCCGCCGATTTTTCTCACAAATAAACACCGGAAAGTACACACCCTAGCTATGATTCCCTGTTTTCGGAGCTTATTTTTTCGCACTGTCTAGCGTTACGTCTGCGTAACCCAAAATGAAAATTAAGGTTACGTCCGACGGAACTCCAAATAAAAATTTAAGTCGCGTCCAACGGAACTCGAGATAAAAAATAAAGTCCCCCCCACCCCCGCTGCCCGTTTCGACCTGGATGAGTTTCGTACTTCCGTAGGTCGTAGTACCGGCAGATGTTTGCGTAATTGTTACTACACGCGTTTGTGTAATTACATACGAGCAACACAATTTTTCTAGATCACGGCACATAGACGCCTTAAACGAGATGATGGGCCCATAATCTGTCGTACGAACCAACACCCCAACACTGATGTCTGAGGGTTTCGGGTGTCTCAGGCTTGGAGCATGCGTGCTGCGGTTTCCATTTGATTAATGTTTTTCTTTTCTCTTGTACGTCGCATCTAGCAAGAAGTGGTTTCATATCGAAAAAAAAAAAAAATAGATAACAAAAATCCTTAAGGTGAAAAAATTGCTGAATGGAGGGTAAAAAACGAGGAAGAAAAAAAAAGCGTATGTGACAGGCTGGCCTACGCAGCTTGTACATACGAGGAACACACTCCAACACCCTCGAACAGCCTGTATGGTACTGGAGGTACGGATAAAGCCGTGATTTTAACCAATTCGTGAATGCAGCATCGGACATAATGCAGAAGTAATTTATAGTATTTTTGTGTTTACGTCGTGTTTCGGCCACAAAGCGTAACATTTAATAAGGTTCCGTAGGTTACACAGGCTGTAACTTATTTCCGTCGGGCGTAACTTGAAACCTTAAGGTAAAGTTACGTCGGACGTATCTTTAATTTTTATTTTGGGTTCCGTCGGACGTAACTTTGCTCTTTATTTCAAGCTCCGTCGGAGGTAACTTTAATTTTATTTGGAGTTCCGTGGGACGTTGGACGTAGCTCAAAACCTTGACGTAAAGTTACGTCGGACGTAACTTTAATTTTTATTTTGGGTGCCATCGGACGTAACGCTAGACACTGCATTAGTTTTTACGGAATTCTAAGGGTGTTTTTCGGAGTTTAGTTTTCGCTTAAAATTTGGGGTTTATCGCAGTTCATTTTAATTAGACTCCCAATCCTCCAAAATTCAAAATTTAATTTTACTCTGCACTATTTTTTTTATATATATA